AGTTAAAAATAGGAATGGATAGGGCTTGAGTGCACCAAAAGCTAGAAAGATGAATGGATGGGGCCCCAAGTGCACAAAAGCTAGCAAGATAATTGGATAGAAATAATAGCCCTTCCTCCCCATACGTATAAGGAACAGCAGGGTTGAGCAGGAAGAGGAGATGGCCTTTGCGACGGAAGTTTACCATTCTCTCAGATCATGCGGCACCTGAATAAAACCTCTTTCCTTTTGTACCAAAAAGAAAAAAATTCCAATGTCCCAGGAAGGCTAGTAGTTCCAGGCAAACCAGGAGGTAGTCAGAAGTGGGTAATGGGAGCCATCCAGAATTCTCCCTCTTTTACCAGTCACATCTAGTCATTCAGAAAGTTAGGTCAATCTTTTGTTAACCCTCAAATCCACCCAACTTGTTTTCATCGCTACTATTACAATCCTAATACATTATCAGCTATATCTTAAAGTACTGCAAAAACCTCTAAACAATTGTCCTCCTCTCCAAAATATACTGTATTCAACAACAAAACTGATCTTTCTCAAATGTCAATCTTATCCTGTCCTCCCCTGGTTAATTCCTTCAATTTCTCTACATTGCCCTCTGAATCAGGCCCAGCTGTTTAGTTTGACTTAAAGGCTTAAATCAATTTCACTCCTACCTACCGCTTCAGTTAATTTCTCCTTAGAACTTCATGCTCCAATAACATTGGCCTTTGTCATAAAAATGTATGACAGAAGGCCTTTCTCATCTCTTGGCCTTCAAACAAATTCTATTATTTCACACGTATTCCCACTTGCTATGATCAAACTCCGAGTCATCTTTCAGCCCTCAGTATAAATAATACGCCTAATGAAGATCTCTTATTGTTGGAGCAGATTAAGTCTTAAATGCTACATAGCATGCTAAATAGTTTCCACAGCATGCTGAGTTACCCATGTCATAACAGTTACTACATTTAACAAGAGTTACATATTTAATGTCTAACCCAGCAGACCATGAGCTATATGAGAACAGTGACCACATCACTCTTGTCACTGTTTTGTTCTAATACTTTGCACAATCCTGGGTGACTATAACTATTCAGTTACCCATCAGTTTTGGGTGAGTAAGAGGAAAAGAAAAAGTCAGAAAATTTATTGAATTCATAAGATCCTATGTAATTAATATACATACACATTGATTTCACATTTGTTTCTTATAACGAGTCTGAAAATATTATTATGCACTTTTTACAGTGAGGAAACTGAGACTCATGAAAGTGGTGCCATGGCTCATCACGTTATTTCTTCCATTTGGAATCCCTTTTCTTCTTTTTGTTCTTGTACCAGTTCCTCAACACCTAGCTGAAATACCGCCTGCCCTCAGAACTTCTCCTTTTCTCCCTGCAGTCCTAATGGTACCCATCTCTTCCCTCCTCTAATCCTACGACACACTGCACATCCTCCCTACTGGTTCTTAGCACAGTGCTCCTTATACCATACCTACTTATGTTTGTGTTTCATTTCAACCTCTAAAAAGTAAAATTTTAAAGATATAATCCAGATCAGACGCACATTTACTACCTTAGAACCTAGCACAATGTCAGATGCTCGATAAAAATGCATTAAATAGAAACTGCCTCTAAAATTTGGTCTAATCTCAATCTACTATAATAAACTAATCAATCAGAGAAGTTATTTCAGATCTACCAAAGATCACACATCTGATTCCTACTTCGTTTTGCCTTCTTCCTTCACCCTCCCCCAAAATGCAGTATGGGAAGAACACTACTTGAAGTCCTGAGCTCTCTGGCTACTGTTACCACTTACTAGTTGTATAAATATCATGGCTTTAGTTTCTGCAGAGGTGAGAATACAGATACCAGTTATTCTGGAACCCCAATTCTCAGCAGTGCCTGGTATCAATTTCAGCTTTTGATAATGTTAAAAATTATTAAAGAGTTATGGTTGCAGATACTTGATGCTACAGAGTATTAACAATCAATAATCCTCTAAAAATCTAATATGTAAACAGAGAGTGAACTAAAATAAGCAGAAAACTTCTGAATTTTCCAGCTTCCCCATTTTGCTGCCGGCTTTTGTGAAGTTATCTCCTCAAGGCAGAGCAGCCTTAGCTGACCATATATTTGCATAATGGCCTTTTAGTTGCTGCTTTTGCTCATTTGCTTTCCACAACTAATTAATTACCAGACCTCTACCAAGACCTGACGACATCTTTGCTTGGGATCAGTCACAGCTCCCTTTGATTGGTAAATAATAATATTTACTTAATGTTCATAATGTGTGGCACATTAAAGGTGCTCAATAACATCTTATTAAGTAAACGAATATCTAAATATCTGGCTTGAAAAGGTAATGAAAAGTTTGTTTTCCCATTAGGTATAGATTTCACCCAGGAAATTTAGGGTTTTTAATGAGGTAAAAAATTTTCCATGGTCTATTTGAATATCAAAATAGGCAACGCCTCTGGACCAGAAGAAGTATCAGCTACTTCTCCTTTTGTTATGATGGTTGCTTTGGCATCGTGGAAACTGGAATTAGAGAGATAAGAAAGGAGATATTCTAACACTGGGACCTGCAGGTTATTTGTCAGCCTTGAGTCGGGCCATTGTTTAGAATCCTAAATTGTGATGAACTCCTTAGGGCCAGTAAAATGTAAATTCTGAGAGCTAGACAGCCACATACACCTTATGTTGTCCTGGGAACATTTAGGATAGTGACTAGTGGAAGATGGGTTCTGGTATAGGCAATCAACATAAGGAATGGAAGAGAGTCCTAGGCAGAAAGCGCCAAAGGGGCAGAAGGAATCTTTAGCAAGAAAACCAATAGCAAGAAAAGTAACAATTATAGCCTTTAGAGAGCAGGTAATAAAATTCTAAAACGAAGTTCCATTTAGAAACCACTCTTACTGTCATATTCATGCTATGTCCCTAATTTCTAGAATACTGTGTGGTGCATTAAAGGTGCTCCATAAGCTCGTAATAAGTACACAAATATCTTAACATCTGGCTTAGGGAAAGGTGACTGTGCAGAAATGTGAACAGCTTCGTATCCAAGGGGGATGCTAAAGTAAAAAATAGAAGAGATTAAACATATAAACAACCTGTCTTGCTCTGGTACCTTGCACCTTACAGACTTGATGAACTACAGCAAACTCAGATCGGAAGCGCTCGTCTTCCAGACCGTTAGAGAAGCCCAAGGATTGGATGACTGCTGCTGAAAGCTTGCCAACATGGCATTGGAGCACTAACTTAATTCTAAAGTATTATAATATAAATGCAAGGAATCATTCATATTTCACAATCTTGTCAAGAGCCCTGAGAGAGAGGACCCAACTGATAGTCCATGAGAAACAAAACAAGGCAAAATGCAATAATTAAGGCTTAAGAATTTTCAAAAGCACAAAAGAAGAGAAGACTCCAGAACAAAATACATGAGAAAACAGGGCAGTGACTACTGTTGCTGTGCAAGGTCCTGACACAGAACCCGGTAAAAGAAGCACAGTGCTATTTTGAAGGCCTCTATGAGCAGATCCACAGTCATGTCCTTTTGTTGGAAAGGTATGAAGTATGCATTGACACACATCTGTTAAGAGAAACATGGGCACTATTATTACCCACTTGGACTGCCTTCAGAGATGCATGGCAAAGGCCTACCCCTGGCCCAGATCCCACTGTTGAAAAGGAATTAAGGAACAGCAGCATAGGTGACTTGATAGAGCAAAGCAAAAAACAGACCCAGGAAGATATTTTTATATTTTAATAAAGAGTTTTCATTATCATCATCAAATGCCTACATTTGTGCAAACCTGAGCTTTCTCAGCCCAATGTTTATAGAAAATTGCCAAGCATCATTTATAGATAAAAGCACAATTCAATATTTATGAATTTCTAGTTTTGTATAAATATAGGCATTTGGAGATGATCTTCTCACTAGTCATTAAATTTTGAACAGGGATCAAAGCTAGAATCATATTAACAATTCCTTGCATTTGTGTAGTTTTTACATAATACTATTAATAATAGATGACATTTACTGAGCATTTACCAAGTGCCAGGCACATTACATGTAAATTCTCATAATAAATTCAGTTTAGTTCAACAAGCATTCACTTAACACCTACTGTGTGACAGATGAATAACACTTGTTTCTGTCTTTAAAATCTCTTGTTTTGGTGCATTCAATCATTTATTTGTTGAATGAATAAATGAATGGATGAATGAATAAATGAGTGAATGAATGAACCAAGTAATTGGTTTGAATGGCAACATAGGGTAATGAAAATAATGCAGACACCTCTCCTGACTAGGTATCATATTTAGAAAATACTCAACCTTTCCTAGCCTCGATTTCTTCATCAGTAATATGGAAATGTTTAAATATTTCTCTTGCAAAAATGTTGTGAGAATAGTAACAGCAAATGTAAAACATCTGACAGAGGGTGGGCCCTACATAAGTAGGAGCAGTTATCATCATCACCCATATCGTCATCACTATTATTACCGCTATTGAGCAGTCCTATCCAGCTCTCATTCTCACTCCAGCAATGGGACAAACAGAACTTTAACGTCCACAAAAAACACACACCATCAGAACGTTTACACAAAAACACCACAGAAAACAAGAAAAGCAAGGAAAATCTACTAAAATGTAGTTTCCAGTGTCCTCCCAGGTTCCTGCACAACATCTATGCTCAGGCTAAAATAACAAACGACATGGAGTCAACTCTAGTTAAGCTTCCTGATATCATGATAGAAGGCAAACAGGATAGGAAGTTAACCAAATACCATGTTACACCTTCCCTCAGAACACTGGTCAGTCCAAACATGGGACCACGTTCTCCATCCCAACATTCTCAAAACACAGCACCCGGAATCTAACCAGTGGCCATCCAGAAACAGCTTCTTCTTAGTGCCAGTGAGGCTAAGCCCTATCCATACAGCAGATAAACTTGAGCCCTGGGTCAAATACTCCAACCAGAAACAGGTCCCATTCTGTGGGTCACTCACCATTTTGGTCTGCTAGTAGATTTTACCATAGGGGCCATCCCATCTCGATAAAGACTCTTGGTTTTGCTGAAGTTAACAATGTTGAAAATGACTCTCTGAAAAAGAAAGAAGTTAATCAGAACACTGTGTTATGCAAGTTGCTACTTCCTGATAATTAGTACTAGAAATAATAAGCAGGGTTTAAGGAATCCATATAGACTGGCTGCCAACAGTACAGTGAGGATAAACCACACCCACAGAAATTCAATGTGTTTGTTCCAGCTTAGCATAGTAGTCAGCAACACAGCCTCTGGAACCTGGAAGCCTGAATTTTAATCCCACTTTACCACCCTCAAGTTGTATGACCCTGCCAAAGTACTAAATCTGTCTTTGCCAGTTTCCTCATCTGGAAAATGGGAATAATAGTGGTACCCAGGGTTACTGTTAAGTATGAAATAAGTTAATACATGCACAGTGTTTGCAGCTGTATTTGGTACACACTAAATTATGCCCTTTTCCTTTAAGCTGACCTAGAATCTGCATGAAAATGATGTTATCATTACAGTGACAGTAGTACATTTGAAGTTCAACACGCTAAAGATAATAGCAGTGCAAAACTAAAATTAGAAAATTCTGCAATAGCTAGGCACCCTTTAAACTAGAACTGGAGGTTATATGTCCTTTTCTGCACCCCCTTTACTATCCTCTGCTAGGGGACAGGGATACTGGGCTCAACTCGAATTTTAGCATCAGTTTTTAAGGGCATAGGTCTTAGGTAAGTCCCTTTCCTCTCTGGGTCTCACCTTTAAAATGGGGGAGTGGAATGTTTTAAAAGATTATAAAGTCCTTCCAGGAGGATAGTATAGCTAAAAGAGATGAGTCCCTGTTTTAATAAATAACTTTGTCATACTGGGAAGAAGAGATTGGGAGAGAGAAGAGGATTGGGGTTAAAAGACACTAAATGACCACTGAAAGTGTCCAAAGGAGAAAGGATGAAGACCAGGGCAAACATAGCCAGGAGAGAGAGAAAGCTTTCAAGAGGTTCCCATAGATTAGCTTTTCTACCCAGAGGCAAAGGAAGGGAAACATCAAAACTCATGTATTATTTCACTGAACAAATATTTATTGGGTGAGGCATTATATAATAGCAAGTGCCAGGTATTTTGTAATTTTTAAATGTTTTAAATATTTTCCTATGACAACAATGAAACTATTAACATATTCATTTCACAGATATAGAAACTGAGGCTCAGACGGTTTAACTAACTTCTTTGAAGTCATGTAATTCATAGATGGAGAGTTGATACTGAATCTAAGGGATTTAAAAAAAAAGATGCCCATGATCTCTATCTTTGAGTTACTCGCTAAGGTTCCAAAATTCCATAACTAACCAAGTCTGTTTTTCAAAATAAGAGCAAAAATAAATATAATGAAAAATTTTCAAGCTTTAAAATTTTGTTTTCTTAAAAAGAGAAAATCTTAACCATTTCCTCTGGCCTCATGTTTGGGACCACCATAAAACACTTTGCTCTATGAAATAAGCTCTTAGGAATGACTTATGTTTTTCTTTCTCCTCAGAGATCTAGCCATGACCCCATCTCTAGGCATTTCAGTTTCAGAACTCTCTTCTGTCATTAAATTAAGTCATCAAGAATGTCCAAGGCTATTCCATTATTAATAACCCAGACCTGCCTGTTGTCAGTTCAATTACTTCTCCCAGGATCTAGGCTACTGTCTGGTTTAAGAAAATCGATATCAAAGGGACCAACGGCCTTTGAACCTCACAGAGCTTAACCCCCCTATTTTCTTCTGAGGTTCCAGGTGCCGGATCCATTTCCAGTGAATCTGGAAGCCATACTACAATTTCGGGATCTAAATTAGGGGGACGTCTATTACAGAAATAATGTATCTGTGTGAGGCTGGAATACATAAATGAGAAAGTGGAACATTTATTGATCACTAGTGTCCTACACTGTGTCAGGAGAATAAGTTAATAAAGGCTGTCTCCCCCTGCCCCAAATATAGATCCTAGAACTATTAACTGGTAGAGCCAGGACTTAAATCTTAGGAGTTCTAACCATGGGGCTCACACTTTCTTCGACACTACATACAAAAAGAACACCATCTCTTACCATTCTCCACCCACACATTTTTAAAAAATGTTTTTCCAGCCTCTTTAGCAAAGCTGCTTCTGGTTATGAGAGTCAAAGGAAGTTGGAAGTAGGAAGGTCAGGAAATCTTGTCTTTCCATATGTTACACTTAATTATTAGGTATTTATTGAAAACGCATCATAAGAAATAGAACCTATGAGTTAATGATAGCAACTCTAGTAATAGCAAACAACTTCTGAGCACTTCCTATGAACCAAATTATTACATATCCTTTATTTTTTATATATCAAAAAAGAAATAATGATAGGAATTTAAAAATATTTAGAATTGGATGATTGATTCATCACTGCATATCAGATCTTGTGGCACATAAAAAAAGCAATATAAAGAGAAGTTAAAATTCAGGCTTACGTGCATGTACTAGAAAGAACTAAAAAAGTGCCAAATTAAAAAGTCAAGAAATAATTCATATAACAGAATTCCAGAGCTACAAAACACTGGAAGTATTTGGTACCACTGAAAGTAGAGCGTCAGGCACAGCAGATACAAAGTCCTTATAAAGAGAAATTAAGTCTCCGGATTCTTTTCCTCACACCAAACACCCAAGTGACTGTGACTTTCCATTGTGATGGGAGACTAGAGGTTGATTCTCTGGAGAGATGAAAGCACCGGGACTCTGGATTCAAATTCCAGAATATTGGTAGTCAAGTTTATTACCTCTATAGTCAAGAGATTAAAGAATTCTTCTGTGGGAAAACAAACTTCCAATTAAAAACAAACTGACAGTAACCAGCGGGGAGATAATGGGGGTGGAAAGAGAAGGAAGGGTTTTCAGGAACCTGTATAAAGGACACATGGACACAACCAAACAGGGGATAGAATCAACCGTGGGAAGTGGGAATGGCTTGGGTGGGGGGTTGTGATGGGCAAAAAATGAAGACAACTGTACTTGAACAACAATTAAAAAATGTGAAAAAGATAAAAAATTTCAAAGTTAGATATAGACGCCTCCCACAATTAAATGGCTGGCTCTCCAGTGGCATCTTCAACACATGCATTTAGATCTTCCATTTCAAATTTTACCACCAATCTGTTTATGATAAAGGACATCCAGTAGAAGCAGACGCCAATGTAACCAAGCAAAGATACAGAAGGCGGGGCAAAGGACTCAGGTGAAAATAGGGAATTTGCAATTGATACATTGAAAACATATTTAACGGAAAAACAAAGCAACTATTAGTAACAGGCGGGAGGCATCAGGGTAGTTGTAGGAGACAAAACTTAATCATACATCACAAGACTCATCTATATTAATATTCACCTATTCACAATAAAGAAAAGCCTGAATATTAATAATGAAATGATTATATATATATATATATATATATATATATATATATATATATACACATACATGGGGGGAAGGGAAGTACTTGTATTGTGTAGCAGAACTGTTAAAGAATTTAATCACTTTCATATACAAAATTGATAAATAATATATAAAACTAAAATAAATAATGAACAGTAGCACAGAAATTTTATTTAGAAATATAGAGTATCAGAGGAAACAATGAAAAGAAATATAAGTGATTTCTGCTAGAGCAGAGATCAAACCCTGCCTCTTCCTATTTTGTAAAAAAAAGCCATGCTCATTCATTAGGTGCTGTCTACAGCTGCTTTTGCAGCAGAACAGCAGAGGTGAGTAGTTGTGACAGAGACCTGATAGACTACAAAGCCTAAATTACTCCCTATGTATTTCTTTACAGCAGTTTGCTGATCCCTGCTTTAAGAAGCAGGAATCAAAAGTGTGGGGGCAAGGTAGAAAGAGGGTTCTTTTCTTTTGGCTTTTGTAGTAATATTTGACTTTGAAATTATATACATATATTATTTTCGTGAAATTTAAGAAAAAGATAGAAAGCTACTGAGCTGATTTTATAAGGATATTATAAACTTGAAGCAAAAATAGGCATGAACACTGGAGAACAGAAAAGTATAGCAAGAAACAAATGAAACAAACAAAACAAAACAAAAATAGAAACGAAAAAACCCCTCATAGACACAAACAAGTGTGGTGATTACCAGAGGGACGGGGGGAGGGGGGAGGTGGAAGAGGGAAAAGAGGGGATAAACGGTGATGGAAGGAGACTTGACTGGTGGTGGTAAATGCAACATACAATATACAGATAATGAGTTATGGAATTATACACCTGAAACCTATATAATTTTATTAACCAATGTCACCCCAATAAATGTAGTTTTAAAACAGTAAAAAACTGTGTAGCCCTGTGTCAGTTATAAAAATTTATTTAAAAACCTCTAAATAAAAAAAATTACTTATCTAAATCCAATGGTAAATTTATACACACACACAAACTGTACATCTAAACAAAGTAAGATATATCTTAGGAACGGAGAGATGATTCAAACATCAAAAAGATCTATAATGCAAGTAAGCATATTAACAAATTGAGAAATACTAAATTATTAACAAATAGATACAGTAAAAACATCTAATAATATTTAACATCATTCAAATATTTTTTACTCTGTGAAATCTACTTATAGAAAGGAATTTTCTTCAAATTATGAAGCGTATCTATTTAAAATTTATAGCAATCCCACTTAATGGTGAAATGTAAGATACACTCCCTTTAAGACAGGAAACAAGGTTGCCACTATTATTACTTCTATGCAATATGGTAATGAAAGTTCTACTTCAATAAAATAAAAACAGGTAGTAAAAAGTATAATGCTTAAAAAGAAACATGTAAAACTCATTATTCACATGTGCTATGATTGTCTACATATGAAATAAAAGAGAAACTGAACAAAACTTAGAATAGATAGAGTCAAAGAAAGTTGCTGGATCTCAAAAACAACTCAGATTTCAACAACAAACCTCTACAAATAATGGACCTACAATCAAGAAAAGTATAGAAAGAGCACAATTCACTAATATCAGGAATACAAAAGGGAATTACAACTATAAACACTAAGAAGATTA